TTATACAAAAATGAGAAAGAGAGACTGTCTTTAACAAAAAATAAAATATCACATTCATTAGCGGTACATTTAAGAGTCGAACGACGATATCCAATCAATTCCAATTGGACATGTTTATTGTCTTTTAGATGTTTACATAATTCCTCTGATACCTTCTGTTCTTTTATATTGGATGATGGAAAACGAACAATAAACGGTGGAAATGGATAACGTGTACGTGCAAACCTTTCAGCTTCCTCAGTTAATTGATCGTTGTTAAATGTTGAAACAGTCATCGTTTCTGTCTGTTTCTGATTAGACTGAATAAATTGAGTAGACTGAATAAACTGATTTAACTGAGTGGAATCGAACTGAACAGCTGTTGTCCGTGAACTTGACTGTCGACTGGCATTTTGTCTCGTATTATAATTGTGTGCATGTATTTGAACCTGTTTTCGTTTATGACGACGTTGAACAATTTTAGTAGTTGTATCCTTAGTAAAATCTTCATGTTCCGTGATATCATCATCCGAAATTGAATGCGATCGTTGTGAAGAGGATACTATGAAATGACCTTGATGACCTTTATTAGAACTTGGATTCTGATTCTGTTGCCATTGTTGTTGTAGATAAGTAGACGACGTAAGATGTCGTTCACTCATTTCTAAGTTTAAATTTCTTCGTTTTCCGGGCCAATTAATTAATTACGTCGATCACGTGGCCAAAAACGTGATTAAACTAACCACAGAATTATATGAACTTTAAACTTAATACGTAGTGATATTATGTAAGGAAAGAAAGAATATACGTCCGCACGTCGTTTGTAAAAAAAAAGGAATGATTCGTCATTATCTGTTCCAATAGAATAATATCGAGAATGATACAGCATGTCTTACAGGTGTATGTCTACTTATTACTAATTGTTTCAAATACGAAGCATTTCGTAATGATGATGCGTACTTTACTCTTCTTCTTCGCTTACTCAAATCCGATTTTGTGCGAACAGATCTTTTACCTACATGGACAAACGATAGTACTATTCTTGCAGATACTCTTATGGTACAAATGAAAAATGCAAGTAATGACTCAACCATACGTCTGTATTTACAAGAGAATCATGCAGCAAATGATGTATATCCATATATAGATGCTGAATATGATAGACTTCGTTTGCAGGCATGCATGTTACTTGGAGTATTATTGGATGATAACACAATACGACAATTGAAAATTCCGAGCGATAAATTAACTCAGTTATATTTTGAGTCTATTAATTGTGCACATAAATCCGTTAATAAATGCTACTAGCGAGTGCCTATACATTTGCTTCTCAAAGCTTTGTCATCACTCGTTCATAATGACAGTATTCAATTTACTATTACGACATCGAATAATTATTTTGACTATCTAATATCGATTATTGATGATTATAATATTATTTATGACATACTTTGGACACTATCATTTAACAAAAAATTACATGAAAAATTTAATTCTCATGAAGCTTTCTTCAAACAAATTCGAACTTTGGCCGATCAACCAAAAATTGCATCAGATAAAGATGTAGCACGATCAGCAGAAGGCATCTTGTGGAATCTAACCGATCGTAATCAAGTGATTGCACTGCCTGATCAACCAAAAACTGTCGATCAACAAAATCTTAATTCGGAAAAGTAAGTATTGACTAATTGTTATTATTTTTTTTGTGTTTATCTCAATTGTACTTTTCTTATATTTTGATCTGTTCAACGAAAATCATCTCACACTATAAATTACCAATTTGACTTAATGATTAGTTATTGTTGGGCAGAGAAAACAGTTTGTAAACAGATATTTGAACATCTGATTATCAAAGGCTATCGTGTATGGTTTGATGAGGAAGATATCCATGGAAATTCACTTACAGCCATGGCTAATGCCATTGAAAATTCACAATGTATACTCATATGTATGAGTGAGAGTTATGAGAAAAGTAATGCTTGTCATCATGAAGCAGAATATGCCTATGTTCGTCAGCGTCGTATTCTACCCTTAGTTGTTCAATCGAAATATAAGGCCAAAAGTTGGCTTGGATTTATAATTGGAGCTCTCATATATATTGATTTCACCAAATATGAATTTATCAAAGCATTTGACATGCTCGAATTGGAAATGAAACATAGAGAGAAGACCGTTGAGCAACCAGCTACACGGCCTTTGATA